GGTAACTAATTAAGGCTTGATACTCTTGTGATTCCATTGTGTCAGGACACCGACAACCTGAACTGGATTGTGTTTACTGTCAGATTAAAACTTTATATTTCTTTATACTTTGTGTGATAAATAAACAGAACTTAAATTTCTAATTAGGAAAGGGAGTCAGCATTGTTGTGAAATTTTCCTGCTCGATGTAAAATAGTGAAATTATAAGGTTCTAATCTTAATATCCATCTGACTCATCGTCCTTTCAGTTCAGTAGTGTGTAACTATTTTAGTGTAACATGATCAGTTGTAATGTAGAAATAAGCTGTTTCAAAATAATGTTTGAAATGTTCCACAACCCAAATAACAGCAAGGCATTCTTGTTTAATAGTTGAATAGTTTCGTTTAGCTTGGTTTAAGTTTCAACTGGCAAATACAACAGTATATTCTCATTTATCAAGATTCTTTTGAACTAATATTGCTCTTAATCCTATTTCTAAAGTGTCGATATGTAAATAGAATGGTTTCTTGAAATTTGGATATCTCAAAACTGGAGTACTGATTAACTTGTCGTTTAATTATTCAAAAGCTTGTTATTGTTCAGCTTCCCATTAGAAAGGGGTATCTTTTTGTAACAATTTATTCAGGAGTTTTGTTTTAGTAGAAAAATCTTTTATAAACTTGTGATAATAAGAAGCAAGTCCTAAAAATTCTTGAATAGTATGTAGGTTAGTTGGTTGTGAGTATTCCTTTACTTTAATTAAATTTCCTTCATCAGGTTGGATTCCTTGTCGAGAAATTTTGTGCTCCAAAAATTTAATACTAGTGAAGAAGAATTGACATTTGTCCTTATTTAATTTCAATCGGGCTTTTTTCAAGGTTTCAAAAATAGTAGTGAGATGATGAACATGTTCTTCAAAAGTTTTAGAGTATATGGTGAGGTCATCCAGGTATACAAGTACAAATTTTTCAAGGTAAGGCTTCATTACTCTATCCATTAGCCTTTGAAATGTAGCGGGTGTATTATATAGGTTGAATGGCATGACATTGAATTCATAAAGTTCAAATTTAGTTACAAAGGCAGTTTTTTTCTGGTCCTCTACTTTCATAACTACTTGCCAATATCTGGAAGTAAGGTCAAGACTTGAAAACCATTGGGCTCCTTGAAAAGAGTCAAGGATATCATCAATAATTGGTAGAGGGTAAATATCTCGTTCAGTTATTGCATTTAATTTTCGATAGTCAACACATAGTCATTTTTTCTATTTTTCTTGGGTACTAGTACAATTGGTGAGGTCTAGGGACTAGAAGACTCTTGAATTATTTCTTTTTCCTCCATTGTTTCTAATTTCTTTTTTACAAACTCCTGATCAGAAAGTGCTAATTGATATACACATTGTTTGATTGGTACAATATCTTTAGTTTTGATTTCATATTCTACCACATGAGTTTGTTCTAGTTTACTGGTTTGTCTCTCTTCGGATATATTTTCTACAAACACATCAGCAAATTCAGCAAATAACTTGTCAGTTGATTTTTTTTGTAATTCATCTAATACTTCAATTCAGAATTCAGAAGTTTTTACAGTAGCAGTTTCAGTCAAGTAAATAGTAGGATTTTCATCATCAGAATTTTCAGGTTCCTTTCCATTAAAGGTTTTAGTATTATGGTCTTACCAGGGGTTTGAGTATAAGTCCTCTTCATCCCATTGGTCAAATAATTCAGAGTGGTAGGTTTCATTTTCATCTAAATCATTTTCTAAGTTGTATTCCAATTTTTATTGAATTGTATTATCTTCTTTTTCATTTTCAGATTTCATTTCCAATGGATCGTTATGCGTATGTGTAGTTTGGATCACAGTTTCATTATCATTATATCTTAACTTCAATATATTAGCAGCAAAGTTTCACTGAGCACAGGTTTTTTCAAAAAAGTTAGTTTCCAATAATAAGGTTTCTTCAGAAGAATCAATTACTTGTAGTTTCATATGAACTAATAAGTTTTGTATAGCGATAGGTACAGAGTTAATTTCACTAGTTGAAAATTGATAAATAATATAAATATCGGATACCCAATATGTGTATAGTACATCCCTAATATCAGGCATATATCAGGTATCCAATATGTGTAGAAAATATTTTTTACACTTATCGGGTACTCGATATATATATAAAATATTTTCTACACATATTGGGTACCTGATATATATCTGATATTAGGGACGTACCATATACATATCAGGTATCCGATATATGTATTATTTATCAATTTTCAACCAGTGTTTGTTCTAAGGCTCGTTGTCTTGTGCCATTGGCAATAATTACAATTACTTTGAAAAATTTATCAATTGCAAGGTCTAACTTCTTTCTCAACCTGTTAGTAATAATACTAACTGTTGTGCCAAAGTCAAGTATAATAATCATGGGATTTTTCTTGATGCGAACATAGCATTTAACAGTAGTGGTTCTTTTGATTTCATTAGTTTCAACATGGTTAGTTTCCTTTTGAGTAGGTCATTTCAAAATCTTTGACATATTTTTCTTTTGGTTCGAGTACTTAAGCAATTGTCCAATCTTTGCACTTGCTTGCATATTCAAAATATCTTATAAGATGTCATACGATATTATTTGATCAATAATAGAAGGTTGACATTTCATCCTAGGTTTCTTTGAGGTTTTACTTCGGTTGGTTTAACTTCTTCTATAGGTTCTTCTTCATACAGGTCTTGCTCAAAGTCAACTAGGACTTCAAGTTCTTGTACTTGAACTTTTAACAAGGGTGAATTTAAAGTAGTAGTAGTTTTTGAAGGTCTTCTGAATTTGCGAATAGATGAGGATCAGTTATTGGATTTATTTCTCATTACTTCATATGCCTTATATTCTTCAATATCATTATTGTCATACTCGACATAGCTAACATTCCTGCAGTTTAAAATTTGGTATTGTTGTGATTATTGTTGCTATGGCTTTTTCTCTGCCAAACAATACTGGTCGAAAATTGATAAAACATACACATATCAGGTATCCGATATGTACATGGTACTGTAGAATATTAATTTTATTTATTTTTATTATATTATTATTTAATATATTTATTATTTATTTGTAATTTATATTAACCGAAGATCATGTAACAGGTGGCTCACCAGGTTGATTACCAGGTAAATCACCTAGGTAAATTACCTGTTGCACGTAACAGGTGGATCACCAGGTTGATTACCTCTTGCTAAAATTGGTAAATCATTAATTTGGTAGATCGTTGCGTGCAGCAAATCAAAGGAATATAAATATGAATCTTCCCTGACCTGGGAAGAGGGGAGCAAGAAGTTTTATAGTTCTTAACAGTTTAAGAGACTAGAACAGAGTTGTGTCTTCTAGTTAATATATAATTTAATCCTTTAATATTTACCTTTACTTTTATAATTTCTATTCTTATATTATATCTTATCTTTATATTTATTATTATATTTATTAATAAAGTTATATCACATTAAATATCCTTATTAAATCTTTAATTTGTTAATTTGTCACGTAATTCTTAATAAAACCTGAATTAATCTTGTATAAATACTCTTTAGCATATACATCTTATTAAGCAGACAAGCTAATTTGATGTGTTAAAACCCCGCATAATAAAGAACTCACCTTGTAATATTTATTCGAATTCACTATTAAATAATTGAATTGAGTTGATCTTAATGATCCTCAAGAAATTCTGAGAATTATTTAAGTAGTTTAAGTTAGTTTAGTTAAAGAATATTAGTTACCCTTCAGACCCTTGTCCACATATTGATATGACAATGGAGCAAAATGCGTGTTGATCTAGTTGAATATACATTATCGAAAGAAGTTGAAGATGCATTAATATCTATTAAAGAATTAAAAGAAATATCTAAAGGAACAAGAGTATGTAACTTTAATTACTGTAAAAAATTTTTTTTTTTAAAAAAAATAATATTAACTAATTTAAATTTTTTAAGGATTTTATTAAAAATTCACAATTATATAGGGAAATTATGTATAGTAAAATTAACTTCGAATCTTATGAAGATCCATGTATTAATACATTAAAAAAAATTCGTGATTGGTTTATCCAAGGAGATAATTAAAAAACTGAATTAAAAAATTAGATTTCACCTCAATGTCAATTTGATATAATTTTATTGATTAATAGATTTCTTGAGATGATTTTATTTATATTAAAAAAATATTCAGGTTCAACGATTCAACCAAAACGTATTTCTCAAGATACACTTGAAGGTCTTTTCAGAACAATCTGAGAGATGGGTGGTGATTCTTCAACACAAATACTGAAGTCTTATGGACATACATTAAATAACTATCAATTTATAGTATTAATTTTATCCAAAGTAAAAAATATAAATTATGAAAAGGCCGATTGTAATGGATTTGGAATTACTACTTTAGTAAGAAGATATATAAATTTTAAATTCATGATAAAAATAATTTTATAATTTTAAAAATAATTTATTTCAATTTTATTATAATTAGAAATTATTGAAAAGATAAAAAAATATTTTTGAATAACAAAGAAAACAACTATTTTTATCTGAAACATTAAAAAAGATTAATCCAATTAACACCTTTCTTACAAAGTATTTTTGAAAATCTTTTATTAGATAATTTAATTATGGGAAAAATTGATATTCCATCTAAGGTATATAACGAAAATGTTAAACAGAAAAACTTTAAAATTATATATCTTCAAAATGAGAGACGTAATCTTATAGAAACTATTATTTATCAAGATTCTATTGATAAATTATTGTAAAAATGGAAAACTATAATTAGAAAAATAACTTGTGAGATAGTTCTGAAGAAAATAGGAGCTAATTGGTTAGCAAATTGGAATATCTCCTTTGAAATTTACTTAAATAATTATAAATGTTTGGGAATTTGGTATCAGGATTTTCTTACTGCAACTAATTTAAATGATTCTTCAACTCAAAGGCTAGTTACTAGTCGAAAATTGATAAAACATACACATTTCGAATACCCGATATGTGCATGGTGTGTCCCTAATATCGGGCATATATCGGGTACTCGATAAGTGTAGAAAATATTTTATATATATATCGGGTACCCGATAAGTGTAAAAAAATATTTTCTACACTTATCGAGTACCCG